GCCAGATAGTTGTCTTCCAAATTTCTTCGCAGAGATGAGTCATATTTTGGCTCTCGTGGACTTGTTTTCATTTTCTTCAGCTTCAGTTTGAATTTGCATAGGAACAGTACTAGAGTGCTTTCTGTTAATGGTCCAGGGCAAACAGTAGTATTTCCCAACAAAAGTTTCTGCTAACTCATATTTATCTCTACCCATATCTCCAGAGGCTTCTCTGGTCCACATTAGTGCTATCTGTCTCTAGCTGGATTTAAGTGATAACAATCATTCAACAAATACTTCAGCAATCATCTGTTTGCTCAACAAACATTTATCCATTATTTAACTCACAAGGTGGTCATTTCTAACTTCAGTGGCTGTACTATACCTGGGGTGGTGGTTATGTGCTGTGGAGTTGGTTCCAACCCTGCATAGGGTTTCTGAGGCTGTAAATTTTTACAGGAGCAGATAGCCTTATCTTTCTCCTGCAGAATGACTGGTAGTTTTGAACTGCTGACCCTTAAGGTTAGCAGCCCAACTCGTAACTATTACACTACCTGGGCTTCTTAGGCTATAAGTAACAGCAACAGAGTTTCTGGGGCCTACTAATCTTATTGTGTATCCCACAATGATTATGGAATTTCAATGGTGCGGTGCTGTAGGATAAGCATTGGACCACAAGGTCAGTTTGAACTGCTAGGTAAGCTGCTCCTCAGAAACCCTATGCAGGGTCACTATGAGTCGGATCTGACTCCATGGCACTCAACAACAACAAGAAACTAAGTCAAGCGATTCACAGAGAATCTGCCACGAATATAGCTCCATGTCTTAGTTTTAATCTTTTGGTGCTGCTCTTCCCTTTCTAGGAGCTCTGGTAGCGCAGTGGTTACAAATCGGGCTGCTAACCTCAAGGTCGGCAGTTCAAAACTACCAGCCATTCTGCAGGAGAAAGATGAGGCTTTCTGCTCCCATAAAGATTTACAGCCTCAAAAACCCTGTGCAGGGTCACTATGAGTCGGAACCGACTCCATGGTACTTAACAACAACATCAACTTCCCTTTCTGGCATGAAGTAGTCAGTTTACCATCACACCAGTGGGTAAGGAGTAAACTCTCTGCTTACCTCTTAGTAACTTGGTGTCTATCTTTCATTTCTGAACGTTCAAACCAGACATGTGGGCAAGCCTTGACCATCGCTCTCTGTATAATTCCCATCAGTCCACCATGCACTTGACCAACCTAGATGTATCAGGAGAAAAAGAGAAAAATATTAAGACACAGCTGTCCAGAAAAGGCTTTTTTAAAGTAGCAGTATAAGTTCCTATTCACCAGCCCTGGTAGCACAGTGGTTAAAGCATTTCACTGCTAAGCAAGAGGCCATCATTTTAAACCCACCAACCACTCCAAAGGAGAAAGAAGTAGCAGCTGCTGCCACAAAGATTTACAGTCTCAGAAACTCTATGTAACAATTCTAGAACAAAGGTGGGTTTGGTTTGGGGTTTAGATGTTCCTATTCTCCACGTAGGTAAGCTCAGCTTTCTTCTACTGACTGATATTCTTAGGCTGCTCAAAGGACAAGAATGGCCAAATGGAAGCAAAAAGTTTTCATAAGCACTTTTGAATATTAAGCTTTTCTGTTGCATTGACTATCTTTTATCTTTAAAAAGCAGAGGTCCTTTAACTTAATTCGAGATAAAAAAAAAAAACACAAATAAAAACTACACTGAAAGGACATTCTTCACCGGTCAGATTGACAAATATATTTAAAATCTTGACACTATACACTGTTCTCCAGGCTAAGGTAATCTCATATGTTGCTCAAGGGGAGGGAGGATGCAAAACAGTAGAACAGTGCTGGGAGAAAATTTGGCAATACCTTTCAAAGTTGTATACAAAGCTAAATATACATACATGTTTCCTCCAACCCAATAATCACATTTCAAGAAATTTATCTGAAGATATACTTTAAACTTTATGAAGATGCATATCATGAGGTTAGTAACTGCAATATATATTTGCAATTACAAAATATCAGTAACTGCCTAAATGTCCAAATATAGAAAATGGAATGAATAAACTATGCTATATCCACACCATGAAGTATTGTGAATCTATGAAAAGAATAAGGTTGATATCTATGAATGATAAGGAAGTGATTTCCAAGAGATATTAAGTAAAAAAAGAAAATTGTGAAAGAACTAGTGTACTATCTTTTGTGTACAACAGAAGGGGAAATAATACACGCATGTATGTACTTATCACTAAAACAAAAAGCACATAAACAATAATCAGAAAACAGTGAACTTGGGGACCTAAAAGAGGTAGGAGGGAATCTGGTGAGATATGAGAGGGAGGGGACATTTCTGTGAGTACTCTATTTTTGCATATTTGTATTTGGAAGCATGTTAATGTTCTACATATTCTAAAACTAAAAGTAAGTCCACAAAGATGAGAATAAAAAACTGAAATAGCATAGAACATTACACATTGGGCTGCTAACCTCGAGGACAGCAGTTTGAACCCACCAGACACTCCTCAGGAGAAAGATGCAGCTTTCTGCTCCTGTAAAGATTTACATCCCAGAAACCCTATGCAGGGTCACTATGAATCAGAACTGACTCAACGATACAAAAGAGCAGCAGCAGTGAATAAAAGAACACTGAAGAGAGGAAGGAGGGAGAAAAATCCAAGAAACTTAGGAAGAGTTTTCGATCATATAATGTACCTTCCATCTTGAGTGGAATGGCAAGAATTTCAAAACATCCTGAACTCTTTACTAGGTTTGTTTTTCATAGTAAAACAAGTGAAACAATTCTGAAACAATACTGTTGTTAAGGACTGTGGAGCAGCTGATGGGTTTGAACTGTCAACCTTGTCATTCACAGTCCCAGTACTTACCCTACAACAGCACACTGGAATTATTGCTATTGTTGTTAAGTGTCGTAGAATAGGTTCTCACTCATAGAGACCTTGTATACGGTCTCTGAGGTTTTCAATCTTTGTGGGAGCAGAAAGCCTCATCTGTATCCCACAGAGCTGGTGGGTTCAAATCATGGACCTTGTGGTTCACAGTTCAGTGCTTACCATATAAAGCCACCACATTCACAATATTTAGGATTTAGCAAATAAGTAAATATGTGGATATTGTTGGGGAACAAGGTTTTCATTGTCAATGACGGGAAATAAAAATATAGAATAAAAAAAGTAAGAAAGTACTCTGAATTAGCGGTATTAGGATGCACTCATATTTTTAATGTAAATATTATAAGTAAATACTAAATATAAATATACATGAAGCATAAATATTTTAGCAAAATTTACATCTGCAGATAGAACACAAATGATAAAGCAAATGGGTTGAAATGTTAATGTAGGTAAATGTGGATAAAGGGGATATGGGTGTTCTATATAAAATTCTTCGCTTAAACTGTTTTTACTGTGAATTGAGTGAAGATTCATAGATAAGCTCATCAGTTTTACATTCAACCAATCATACACTTCATTTCATCTCAATGATTGCAATCCCCTTCATGCAACAACAGTGATCCCACTTGCTCCCTGTGCTTCCTATTTCCATTCCACTCCTCCTTCTCTCCCATTCTCAACTTTGTCCTTAGGTAAATGTTGGCCTATTGATTTCAAATGATTGACCATCCCATGGTGAGCACACCTTGCTGCCCCCATATAAACAAACCAATCTACTACTTGGCTCCAACACTATAACTCAAAAGCATCAATTCTTCTATGGTCTTCCTTATTCACTGTCCAGCTTTTGCATGCATATGAGCATATAAATACTATGGCTTGGGTCAGGTGCACCTTAGTCCTCAAGGTGACATTTTTGCTCTTCAACACTTTAAAAAGGTCTTGTGCAGCAGATTTGCCTAATGCAATACATCATTTGATTTATTTGTTGGAGGAGAATATTGAAAGTGCCATGGGCTGCCAAAAGAACCAATAGATCCATTCTGGAAAAAGTGCAGTCAGAGTGCTCCTTGGAGGCCAAGATGGCCAAACTTCATCTCTCATACTTCAGACATATTGTCAGGAGGGACAAGTCACTGGAGAAGGATGTCATGTTTGGTAAGGTGGAGGGTCAGACAAAAAGAGGAAGGTCCCCAATGAGATGGTTGGCCAAGTGGCATCATCAATGGACTCAAGTGTGGCAACAGTAGTGAGGTTGGCCCAGGATCAGGCAGTGCTTTGTTCTGCTGTGCAAATGGTCGCTATGAGTCAGTACCAACCCAATGGCACCCAACAACAACAACAACTGCTTGGCTGAAAATTGGGCAACAAGGGTGAGTTCCTTTTCAGATATGGAAGGTGGTTGAGGGCCATAGTCTCAGGTTCTCCCAGTCTCTTTCTGACCAGTAAACAAGCCTGGTCTTTTTTTTTCAAAAACTAATTCTGAGTTTTGTTCCACATTTTCTCCCATTCTATCCATGACCTTCTATGTGATTCCTTTCAGAGAAGTTGGTAGTGGTAACTAGGCACCCATCTAGTTCATCTAGTCTCAGAGTCATGGAAACTAATTCACATGCTCCATTAGTCCATTGGACTAACTGATTCCAAACATCTTCAATTCTCATTATTCTTCTTTCTTCCACACATGGAGAAACCAATAGCTGCACCTTAGATGGCCATTCATGAGCTTTTAAGATCCAAGACACTATTCACCAGAGTAGGATGTAGCACATTGTCTTTGTGAACTCTGTTATGCCAACTATATAAAACTCAATAGCTGCAACATTCCTATAAATTTGGAAATATTTCTAAATTAAAAAATAAAGTACAAGTTTCTGTTGTTGTATGCCTATGAGTCCATTCAGACTCACAACAGCCATAGAGGATAGAGAAGAACTGACCCGTAGGCTGAAATATTTATGAGAACAGGTTGTCAGGTTTTTTTCTCCCTGACAGAGCCCACTGGTGGGTTGGGCTCAAACCCTGAACCTTTCCATTAGGAGTCAAGCTGCTTAACCACTGTGCCACCAGGGCTACTTTTCTTTTGTTTAGGAGTGATAAAGAACTTTAGAAAATTCATTGAAAAGAGATTTTTACTGTTCTTTAGGTAAGTAATTTATGTTTATCTAAAAGAAAACTATTAGAACCTCTGGAAGGAATAGTACAGTTTCCTCACACTTCTGACCCTAATTTAATCCAACTGGCTGCAGGTTTCTACCATTCAACCCATTGAAAAGTTTGCAGGTATTTTACTTTTCTAAACCTTGACCAGAGTTTCTAAACTATGCCATTATACATGATCAAAATTCATGGAAAGAGCAACAAATTTCTGAGACCCTCAGTTACAAATGAATTGTCTCTCCTTTTCATTGACCAAGATATAGATGGAATATGGTTCAAGAAATGCAAAATCATGATTAGGCAGGTTGGTTAAAATGCATAAGCCTCTGCTTCGTAACCTATAACAATATCTCTGCCCTAATCTCAATGGATTATAAGGAAATTCAAACATAATGAAAGTGACTGTCTACTTAGTTTTGTGTGGTTATTTTTATTTTTCATGTATTACAGATACACACTCAGAGCTGTGCTGGGGTCTAATAAGAGTTGTTAACCTGAGGATTCTTAAGTTCTTTCCTTTTCCTTTAAATTATATTTATTTTGTTGTTGTTGTTGAGAAGATACATAGTAAAACATATACAAACACAATAGTTTCTGCATGTTCAGGTTAGTGACACTAATTACATTGTTCAAGTTGTACAACCATTCTCATCCCTCCTTTTATGAGTTGCTCCTCCCTCATTAATATAAATTCACTACCCCAAAAAGTTTCAAGATATTCTTTAGAGTTGTTGTTGTCACTTTGATCCCATATACATAGTTATGGAAAATGTATAATTCTCAAGGCAGATTGTTTTTACTAGTCAATCTAAACTATTTGGTGGTTTTATGAAGACGTCAGAGGATAGTTTTTATTTAAGGTTTAATGATCATTTCAGGGCAGTAGTTTCAAGTTTTCATCTACCCTTCATAGCTCTAGAAAGTATAGAGTCCATGAGAATCTGGAATTCCATTCTATATTGTCTCCCTTTTGATCAGTATTCTTATATAGAATTTTTAATAAATATTCAGTAATGGTAACCAGGCACCCTCCATTCTTCTGGTCTCATGACAAAGGAGGCAATTGTTCATGTAGGCAATTAGTCACACATTCCATTTCCTCCTCCTAGTCCTGACTCTTAATCACTTCTTCCTGAGCTGTTCCAGGTAAATAG